TGACAACAGAACCAATGACCTTGGGAGGTGGTGAGCCCTCCAGCGCTGGAGGCATTCAAGAGAAGAACATTGGACAACCCTCTATCTGATCTGCTTTAATACGTATTCCCGTATCGAGCAGGGGGTTGGACTCGACGGCCTTATAGGCTCCTTCCAACTCAATTATTCTATGATTCGATGACTTGAAACGCTTTGCTCTAAAGCATTCCCCTGGAACTGTAGGAGAGAACTGTAAATTCCTCACCGGATGAAAAAAAGCTCTCAGGATTCCATCAGATGGGACTGTGGGCAACTGAAGGGGCTTCATTTGCTGTAAAGGCATCACATAGATCTGCTCTCAAACTGTTGAATCCATGATGGGAGAAGTAAGTCACTGGGAGACCAAGGGGACTTTTTTGTTGTTGTTGTTTCTGTTTGGAACTCGTGTTTCTGTGTCAGTCGTAGATGGCGTGCAGAAGTACACAGAATAGAAAAGACAATTTCCACAGCTGTTTTCCTTTTCATAGTGGCTGTGTGGGATAATTGGGTGTCATGTTGTCAGGAACAATTCTGGAAAATTCAGCAAATTGGCTGGCATGAGTAACTTCATTCCCCCCTCCCCCTGCCTCTATTAAAAGCTTTCTGTATGAAAATGATAAAAACCAAGCCACGTGTAACAGAATGCCTCTTGCCTGTTTCTTTCGAGGCCACTCACAAAATTCTTTAGCAAGTAATAGAAACCTAGGGCTAAAAGCATTTTTTGTTCTGGCCAAAGAAACCCTTTAGAATGAATGGAAGCTATAAAGTAAGCCTCAGCGGTTTCAGAGGGTCTCTTTTCATTGGGACTCAAGTTGGATTTAGCCCATAGAGATGAGCTGGATGTCTAGTCAATGGAACTGGGGTCTTCTGGTACTTGGCCATCTGCAACTTTGGCCTTCTGAAAACAGAGGATAGAGTGGAACAAAATGATACGAATTTGTGCAGTTCTGAAATATTGATTGTTAGCCTGCTACTGAATAGCTAGTATTTCTTCTGAAACGCTTTTTCATTCAATGACACCAGTCCCTGCCTGGCGTGTGAAGCAGCAATTCACAAGCTTCCAAAAATGAGAGGGGATTGATTTTTGTAAAGAAACTGTAGGCATGGAAAATCAAGTGTCCCTTGGAAGGCTGGATGTAATCTTAGTTCAACTTTTGCCTCTTAATTAAGCACTCTGCCGCTTATTAATTGTCCTTCATGTGTTTGTTTTCTTGACAAGCAACGTACGAGTGACTCAGTACTACGTCCCCCCCCAAAAAAAATCAATAACGGCGTACTACATGAGTGCTTTCCTTAACTCGCTTAATTTATTTATTTTTTTTGCCTCCACTGATGTCTGTTCCTGCATACATATTTTTTTCAGTGACACAGGCCTGTCATCCCAAATAAATTAGTCATATCTCTGGGCACCAAAATCTGAGAGATGAAAGTATCAAACAGAGGAAAGTATGAATTATTCCCCCCCCCCGGTAATCTTGTCTACATCTATGATTGGCCATAAACTACCATTTTATTATGCCATTGTAAACCCACTCATCGAGTTTTACATCAGAAGTTTATACTTAGGATCCATGACATGGTTCTTGCAGGCCATTCTTCTGTATCAGTCTATCCTTACTGGCTAATGAACCTCAGTGCAGGTAATCTAGTCTGATATGCATCCAGTAGCGTAGCGTGGACTTCCAGTACCTGGTGCAAGGCATGTATTGTGGGGCATGGGTTACATGCCCCCTTGCAACGTTTGGGTGGGGTGGAGTGCAGGGGTGCAGTAGAAGAAGCCCCCGGGGGGGTGCCAGGAAGCCACTCAAGGTCCATGCTGGTGGCCCTACTTCTTGCCCTCCAGATGTTGTTAGGCTGCTGTTCCTCCTCCCCCTCATTATATGTGATGTTTTTAATGATATGATCCATGCTGGGTCTCGTTGGAGAGACGACCGGCATGTAAATGAAAATAACAAGCAAATAATAAATGCATTCAGTATAGTCAATGGGCATATTGGCTGTTTGTGATCAGCGTTGTAGTTCAGCACAGCTGGAGAACCTCAGATCGGGGGAAGAGCTGTTTTAGAAAGAAAGGAGCACAATTATAACGTGTTAGGAAGTAACAGGGGGGGAATGTGTCTATAGAACTCCCATCCCTCGGGTCTGCAATTCAAGGAGCATGTGGGTCACTGCTCTTGCTCCTATATTCTGCTTTCTCCATAGCTTCTTTTAAGGTTTTCGAGCCCTTGGGCATCAGTGACTATCACACTTGGTTTGGAAATGAGGCTGTGTGCTGTTCTGGGGCTCCCTTAGAGCATCTAGGGGAGAAAGCCCACATTTCCGGCCATAAGCTTCAGGAGGTCCAGGTTTAAGTTTGTAGAGGTAGAGGGATAGCGTAGCACATGATGCACAGCAGAGCTACCTGGGGAATTCTGGACGTTGTAGTCCAAAAAAACCCAGATCTGTACATCTCTAGTTACACACATGTTGCTCGCCCCCAGTGTGGTGCTGCGGAAAATGATTTCCTGACCCACTCTATTTACTATATTTCTTGTGAAAGTATATGGTTATCTTTAGCTTCTTTATTTTGCTTTGAACTCGCTGGAGATTTGATCAAGAAACATCACGGTTAAAAAGCATTTCGGTAACTTGAAAGTCTGCATTTTTCCTAATTTTATCTCCCACTTCTGAAGTCAATATTATGGATTTGCCCCTGCAGTAGATTTGCTTAACTACCCCAAGTATCAGAAAATCATATTTGTAACTGAACAACTCTGTGAAATGCCTTTATTCTGCTGTCTGCATCAAAATAACAACAACAAAAAACCCTAAATATCACCGATCTGCGATGATTTCAGATTCTTCTAGCATTATTTTGTATTTCTATTGTGCAGCTCTTGATTGAGATTCCTATAATTGTTCTGCTCCCCCCCCCATTTTTCCTAGCTTCACATTGTATTACTGTGTCAGGGAATTGAGAAATGGCTGTTAATCAGAATTCTTTTAGCAGTCCAGTGTTTTGCGGTATTGACGTTTGTTCTACCTTGGTATAAACACTGTCGGTTGAAGAGGAGTTGAATGTGGGGAAGGGCAGGGGTGAGTAGCTCTTGTGAAGAGGCTATAGCATAATAGTGAAACACCTTCTGCCACTGCCATCTCCCTTTGTAAGGACCAGGTTGTGAGTGATGGGTGAGATCTTGGCCCAGGGCATGGATGAAAGAGCCCGTCTTGGTCCCAGGAATGCAAGAGCCGGGAGCTGTTGGGTCTCCAGATGTATTAGTCTTCAGCTTCCGGCAGCCTCATCCAGCATGGCCCAAAGTTGAGTCCCAAACTTCGGGAGGTCAGAAAGATCCCTGGCCCTAGGAAGCACCGTTTCAGGGTAGAAGGTCTTACAGTCTGACCCGACACAAGGCAGTTTTCCTGCGTCATTGCAAGACATGATATTCTGGGCTCAAAGCAATGCACATTGTGTCTCTGTATACGACTTCAAGGACATATCTTTCATTCCATTTAGTAGCACTTATTATTTTCCAGTTCTCTTTAGAAACCTCTATCTGTAACTGAGACTTAAGCAAGATGACTGTTTTCTTTCTGTTTCGGCAGTAAATGTAAGATTCCCATTTCCAAATGCCTCATAATATTTTTTTCCCCTACTGAGATACGCATTACTCTTTTCTGCATTAACTTTTCATCTTTCATTGTCGCGGATATAATTGCACCGTTCACCTGGCGGAAATATTTGGACTGGGCACAGGTCCATGTGAGAACGCTAGATGAAGTTTGAAAATATGAATTAAAGGTGGGAAACCATATCGCAACCCTGTTCTTTTTGCCCAGCAGCATAAATTGTTAGCTCTGTCACTCAGTCCTAAACCTATGATCAGCAAATGCTGGAAACAAAGGGGGAAAATCCCTAGAGCCAAACTGGAAGATTCTCACAGTGACATTTCTCTCTAGCAATATACAGCAATGTATTTCTGCATATGGAAGTTTTAATGTCTTATATCTTAATGCTCAAAGCAATGGCAAGTAAAGCATGTATCTGACAGTTTGCACTGCACTAGTCCTCAGCCTTTGGCCCTCCAGATATTTTGGATTTCAGCTCCCAGAAGTTCCAGCTCACCTGGACAATAATCAAGGATTCTGGGAGCTGATCCATCAGAAAGGAGACACGTAGAGAACCACTGTCTTACACCAGGACTGATCATAATATGACCTCCAGATAGATGCTGTCGGGCTGTATTTCCCATAATACTCCACCATTAACTGTATTAGATAGCATGACTCTGAGTTGCAGTCCAACTATCTCTGGAAAGCTGCGCTTTGGTGACTGGCTTGCACTGTGCCTTCTGCCACAGTGGTTAAACTGGAGTACTGCAGTCGAGACTCTGCTCACGACGTGAGTTCGGTCCCGACAGACTCGAAGCTGACTCAGCCTTTCATTTTTCTTTGATTGGTAAATGGAGTACCCAGTTTACTGGGGTTTGTGTGTGATGTGTAGCCTGCATAATTAAATTGTACACCGCCCAGAGCTTTAAGCACTATGGTAGCAGCATGCTTTGCTTTTTGCCTTTTTTTTTTAAGTTCATGGTTCCTCTCTCCGTCTGCTTGCTGAAATCATCAATAGCTAGATTCCATTCCGCATGTCAGAAGGCTTTTCTTAAAAGCTACCTTGCCAACTCAGAGACTTTACTGAAAACCAGCAAGACCCTGCTCCAAATGTGACCTCCCCAGTGAAATCGCTAAATGGCTTTGAGCAACAGAGGCAGCATCAGCCTGTGTCTGCCGTAGAGGGACAACAGTTCCAACCTGGCAAGGTTTTTCTAAGTTGTACAAAATCAGTGTATGAGAAATGCTCTGAATGCTTCATTATGATATTTTAATACTTTCTTTTATTTAAAAATATATATATCTGCAGGTGTAGGGCTTATTATTTTCCTGTTCCTGACGTGTTGTCGTGAAAGCCCTAAGCGACCTCTTCATTTTTTTAAATTGCTTTCCAGCTGGACAGCTCAGCCAGTCAGCACACTTTGCCCTCCAGCTCCCCTATAATGTTTTGGGCTTGGGACGCAGCGCTAATTTCCTTGACCACCTGTTCGTTGGCATTCCTCGCCCACTGGGAGAAAAGGTACCTTTCAGTGAACCTGTTTGCCATGGAACTGGACTGAGATGTATGTTTATGTTTGGTTTTCATTGGGATCTTGGTGGAATTCTTTTGGAGGCACTGGAGGATAAGAGCGCGCTGCTTGCGGGCCTTCGTGTGAGCCCCGTCATGTTCAGCACTGTAGCGAATACACAGTGGGCTTCTAGAGTTATATGGGCACCCGGATCAACTACAGTGGGGTCTCGACTTACGAAAGCTCAACTAGTCTACAGCCTTGGTCGTGTAGGATGACATCGCTGACAGCCAGCCATCCAACTTATGTCTGAAAACTGCCAATCAAGGAATATGCTCCTTATCTTCCCTGTTCATCCACTCCACTCTCTCCACTCTCCAACAGCATTGGGATCTTCCTAATGTTTAGTCAGAATCTCTTTTAATCCATTGGGAATAAAAACGTGGATTGGTTTTTGCAATTAAGAGTTAAATTAAAAACGAAGCACAAAAAATTAAGATAAACTTGCATCTCTTTTCAGGCTGTAAGAAAACAGGAATGGACAGCCATCATCCCAAACTCCCAGCTCATAGTCATTCCATATCCTCACTACCTCCCTCGAAGGTAAGGCCGTACAGATTGAATCCTACGAAAACCTCTGGGCTATGATGCGGGAGGTGCCAGACCACCATCCTAGCAGAAATGGAGCGTGGGTGTCAGCCTTGGTCGTGTAGACCAAGAGAGACAGCCATCCAACTTATGTCTGAAAACTGCCAATCAAGGAATATGCTCCTTATCTTCCCTGTTCATCCACTCCACTCTCCAGCAGCATTGGGATCTTCCTAATGTTTAGTCAGAATCTCTTTTAATCCATTGGGAATAAAAACGTGGATTGGTTTTTGCAATTAAGAGTTAAATTAAAAACGAAGCACAAAAAATTAAACTTGCATCTCTTTTCAGGCTGTAAGAAAACAGGAATGGACAGCCATCATCCCAAACTCCCAGCTCATAGTCATTCCATATCCTCACTACCTCCCTCGAAGGTAAGGCCGTACAGATTGAATCCTACGAAAACCTCTGGGCTATGATGCGGGAGGTGCCAGACCACCATCCTAGCAGAAATGGAGCGTGGGTGTGTCAAAATGTTTTCCTTACGCTGCTTAATGCTTGTTTTGTACTGAGTTTTGCCGTTCAAGAATTTCTGTTTGTTGTTTTCCACCTCTGGTCTTTGCGGCTGTGGGCCTGAACGGCTCTGAATGTTGAGGTGGCAAAGCAGAGCAAAGAAAAGAGAAGGAAAAATGCAAAGATCTCAGCAGGTGAAAGGATGCAGGAGGGTGTAGAACATCAGGTTGGAAATGGGAAATGGCATATATTAAAGATATAAAGGGAGAAGTTTGAAAGAGATGTCTTAAAAACCGGGGGGGGGGAGAGAACGTTCGAAAAGAAGCTGTGGAGGCAAGAGGGGCCTTTGACAGTAGAAATAAGAGGCTGACCTCCACAACGGAGTTAAAACTTCCAGATTTTTGGCTGAAGAGTCCCATGGAGGCTTTTGCTTAAGTCCCCCTGGATAGACATCACACAAGAGCCAGTTGGCAGGAGAGATCTCCTGTAATTTTTATGGATTGCTTTTTTAAAATTGTTCAGAATCCTCAAAATTAACTGTAGATGTTTAACTCGTAAAATGTTTCTGAGTAAAATGTCCACTAGGGTTTTTTTTTCTCTCTCTCTCTGTCCATCCAATAGCAAATATAATTGTGTGTGAACCACGGCTATGGGAGAAATTTTGGTCAAATCAATGATACGCTCTCTGTATCTTGTGAAATGCAAAAAGATTTCTATTCACATTTCCAGCACAGGGCGAGGGTTGCCATGGTCTTCTCAATTCCCCTATAATTATGGGCAAGATGTTTGCTCAAGAGGAACAGCTTGCGCATTGCAGAGCACGTGGCATAAAAGCCCATTTATATAGAAGTAATTGGCTTCAGGCCTTCTTCTTTCCCCTTTTTTGTTCTTTCTGTGGCTGCCATGTATCCTTGACATAATAGGTAATTTTCTTTTTGTTTACTTGTATACTGCAGTTCAAATGCAGATTATATAATGAAATCATCATGTGCCCCTCCTCCAAAGGCTTCCAAGCAGGTAAAGAGAGGGAAAAATCAAAGCTATCATCCTAATGATCAGTACATAGAGTAACTTTAGTTAAACTGTGTGCCAGATTTTACTAACCAAATGGTGCAGTGTAGTTGTGTAGCTACATTGCTATTCATGTTCCATTAAGGACTGTTTGTTTGGCTGTAAACAAGCCTGAAGTATAAAATGAGTGTAAATATCCCCTTACCTGGTCAATGATGACAAGTAACGCTGCCTTCAGATGCCCAGGAAAATGACACTTTCTTTTTAATCCACCCTTCACTAACATGGATCAGTATGAGACAGGTGAAGAAGCAAAAGATTTTATGAGCCACTCGGGATACTAAATTCTGGGCTGATAGATCTTCGCCCGTATTGCCTTCCTTTTCAGAAAACCTGAATTTTAGGCTGATCAGAACAGTGATCCATGGAGACACTCACATTATTGAATCCAAGAGAGAGTCAAACAATGTGAACAAATATATATATATTAGAAAGGAGATTGCAGCATTGTATTGATGACGACTGAAAGCAGCTTTTTCCCCAAAACAAAACAGGAAACCTATTTCTTTAGCAACAAGAGAAGGTCAAAATCCCAGAGATTCCAAAGAGAAAAGAATTTATTAGACGGCGGAAAACGCCTCTTCTCTTTCCTGAGGAGTCTTTCCTCCTCCACCACCACCACCCTTTTCACAGAACAATATATAAGAGGACAGCATAAACATCTCCCCCTCTTCCAAAGTATTTGCCCTGGAATCCACTGGCAAATACTAATTCACTCTTCTGTTGGCAGAACTGATTTCCTTCCACTCAGGGTACACATTAAAACAGAAGAAACTTACTTAATGGAACAAATTCCCTGTAATTGCCATCAGGCGTGTAGCCGATTGAGACAAAATGACCTGTCACCCAACTTGCAGGAAGGCAGAATGAAAACTTGCTTTTTTCGTGGAGGGCCACATGACCCTCAGCATCCTTGAACTGGGGGCTGAGGACTAATTTACGAGTCAACAATATTCCACTGCTTCAGTGAGGTTCACGCAAGCCGACTGTGCTGAAGTGGTGAGCCGGAGCTGCAATCCTGTTTTCGTACAAATGGGGGCAGGCGGACACCGGCTTGGGCCGGCCCTGCTTCCGCCACAGAGGAGTCTCAAAATGGAAGAGTGGGCAACATGTTGGTGCCTTCAGGACTGGCGCAACTGCAGGAGCAGCTTAACAGGATCCCGGCTTCCCCTCAAAGGTGGGGAGGTATATTTATGTCCTTTACGTGCACCCCTGTAAAGTATTTTTGACATGAGGAAGGGCCTTGATGAGGCCTTAACATCCCATGGTAAATGTCACCAGGAGAGCGCTGAGACCCCATTGGCTCCATCTAAAGACGTCCAATAACTATAGTAGGTGGTTTTCCCCTTAGCTTTGATGGCAAAAGGGGGACATCAGTGACCCTGCTTCTTCCAAGAATATGTCTCCTGCTGTGGAGGCTCACAGAAGGAATTCAGATAAAACCACCCATGCAGACTGGCTAAATATGAATCCTTTACAGTACCTATATATTCTTTACAACACCCATATCAGTTTAAATATTCAAACATTACGGAGACCATTCAGATCCAAGCGTTAAATCCATCGGGAAGAGAAGAGGTCTTGTTCAACCACGTGGCACTCATGCTAAGAAGACTCAGATAAGGATTTCAAGTCCCACAAGTTTCTTTATGACCAAATTTCCTTGGGAAACAACTTCCGTTCTTCTGTTGCTACTTTAAGAGGTCCCAGCTAAGCCAGCTGCTTGCATGAAAACCTGGTCTCACTTTCTCAAAGCTAGGGCTGTAAGTCTTAGCTGGCAAAATATTGTTCACAACCACACGGACTTCCCAGGAGAGAAACCTTGGTATGAGCACCGTGTTTCTTTCGTTTTGGTGGGGCTCAGACAAAGCTGTACAGTTCGTTCTCTAGTCCTGAGCGATTAGGGCTAACGGCCCAAGAACCCTGCCGGGATCCAACCAGAGGCCTGCCTGATCCCGTGTTCAGATCCCACAGTAGGTAACCAGTGACTTATGGCAACCTCAAGGAGGGGAAATGCTGAAGTCAATGCCATGGACAGCACTAAGCAGTCAACACTGAAGTTGTCATTTTATGTGGCCCCAAAGGAGGAGATAAAGAGCATGTCTCTTGCTCTCCTTCCCAAGATATCCATCAAAGATTTTCAGCATTTATACTTAATGTGCTATTTACCCAGATACGAAAATACTCCCAAAATACTGTTCACTCTCTAATCCCATTGATGGTGCTCTGGGCTTTATGAAGAGAATACTAACCATAGACTCTCATTCAGTCAAGGCAACGCAACGAGCTGTGATAGAACAACAGCAGCCTTAGAACGGCAGAGTTAGAAAGGGACCTTGTGGGTCATCAAGTCCATCCCGTCAAGGAGGCCCAGTGGGGGATTTGAACTCCCAGCGTCTAGCTCCTAAACCACTGAGCTATCCAGCAGTTCTGTATTGTTCTTAATTAGCATCAGATTTATTCGGGTCCTTAATATTTTAGGAGATTTTAGTGTAATCTCACGTCCTCCTGCTGATGAATATTTAGCCATTCATCTCTTACTTTGCTCTTGGTGGTTTCTGAAGGAATGCTGTCCTAAATTTATGCATCTTATCCAGCACACATTGATTTCAGTAGGCACTCTGTTTCAAGACTGATTGATCACAGAGCCTGACCTCAGTGATCAATAGGTCCTTATTATAATTCTTCAACAAAGCCCTACAGAGATTGCAACTTTATTTACCTTTGAAATAAACCAGCAGCCCTCCGAAAAATGAAAGAAGAGTTCGCTTTTGTTTTAAAATAATACAATCACAGGGTGATTGGGAGCTGAAAAGGAGACATGTTTTGCTACCTGTTTATTCCAAAGTGGAATCATATCATCTTCAAGGGATTTATGAACCAGGAACTCAGAAAGCTGCAGATCTGATCTCTGCTTTACAAAGTTATTGATTCCAACTCTGTGATGTATCCCTCTATCATTCCATGGATATTCTTAGATTTGGTTCAGTTTTACCATTTCAAATGGGAGAGTTCCATCAAAATAGTTTTTTTAATTGAATTGTTTTTAAAATCATTTCATGTTGAAATAACAAGGGGTTTGAGAAGATGTATCATGTGCCTCATTTTGAGTGCCATTATAATGTCCTTCTTTGTAAATATTACACTCGTCTTTGCGGCACACGCACAAAAATACATAAGGAAGAGGACTAGTGTCTCCCAGTTATAGTGTGGGTGCATCTTTGTAGGTATACTGGGCTTGTTACGTCTGATCATGCTAACCGATGTCAGTGCATTGGTAGCCCAAATAGTGTCAGCAACTCTGAAGGGTCTTAATGCTCTCGGATGTGGGAAGGTTGAACAACTTGACGTTCCTGAACAGTTGTTCCAGGAGCAGTTTGTCATATAAACACTTAATGTATTCGCGAAGGCGTTCATGGCTGGGATCTAATGGTTGTTGTGGGTTTTTCGGGCTCTTTGGCTGTGTTCTGAAGGTTTGGCTGTGTTCTGAAGGTTGTTCTTCAGAAGAACGACCTTCAGAACACGGCCAAAGAGCCCGAAAAACCCACAACAACCATATAAACACTTACTTTGCAACTAAAGTACTCAACTCATGAAAGGCAGTTCCTGCTTTTCAAAGTAACTTGAAAGAAGCATTGATAATAAGCCAGTTTAGCAGCTGGAGAGCCGACATAATGTAGTGGAGAATTTTTAGCTGCATTCACTGTAGTTAGGGAAACCAGGGTTCCCATTCTCTGTCTTACGAACCCACTGAGACCTCATGGTAGGCCACTGTTACTCATCTTAACATACCTCTCAGAGTTCATCTGAGGATAAAAGGGGATAGACGTTGTCCACTCTCCGGGTGAATCAAACAAAACATTGTGGGAAGGATTTCAAACACAGATACTTTAGTAACTCTGTCTTCAAATGTCCCAGATTTTTATCCCTTTCTGATTTTGATCTGTGGAAATAATTAGGTTTTGGGAGACCCTTTGTATTTGGGGTGGGTGGAATATACTCTAAAACTAAGTCCCTAAAACTGAATTGAATCATGCATTTAGTTCTTCAAAAAGTGGTAAAGACAGGCTAGTGTTTCGATTTTGGGAGAGAGTCTGCCGTAGTAGTCTTTTTATCCCAAAGTCCTAATTTCTTCCTTTCCACAAACAAGCCTCAAGAAGGAATTACAAAAGCCAGTGGTTTGTTCAAACTTGCAATTAAATCTCTTGCACACTTAAAAAAGAGAGAGAAAGGGCTTAACTGCATAATAGAGAGCAGAGTTCAAAAAAGACACTTAAAATTGTCTGCAGAATAGTATCTTATAACAGTGTTGTTTTCTCCATACCTGAATTGAAACTCCTTATTATGAAAGGAGCACTTGGACTTCATTTTGCTGAAACACGTAAAGTTAAATCAATATCAAGCTGCCTGTGTTCTGAGGGAAGAGCCAGATGACACATGATGAGCTGGATGCAATTTTGCAGCTATATATCGACATACTGTTTATGAACTTCCAATAATCAATACAGCCATTTGCCAAGCAATTAAACACACACCACAGTAGCACTTCCAGACCTTTTAGCTCTTGGTCTCCCACCGACAATTAAAGAAATCGTAAGTATATTGTTCCCCTGCTGTGAATCCAAATTCAGTTGCACTGTTTTAGCCACATTTAAGACATAAAGACCTTTGCCATTCAGTCTTCCCCCTGTTGTAAACTCAAGAGCTCGGAAACATTATTTTTAAACATTATAATTCACAGAATATCTTGTCATCAGTCTTCATTCCTTGTTAAGCAAAAGTGTTTTCTCGGCTTGTAAGCCATCCCATGGCTGGCCATATTGGATGAGAGATTCTGAAAACTGTCGTTCAGAAAACTAACTTTGCCAAGTTTTGAGATAGCCACATAAACAGAGACCTTAGCTGTATAAGTTGAAATGTGATGTTTCTAAAGATGAAGGCGTGGATTACTTTTATCCTCTTTTGGTGCATATGACCAAGATTCCTCTGCTGAGGCCTCTGAATGGAATTTTACTGCGGTGTAAATTTCTGAACATAAAGAGTTGTGTGGAAAAGAGAGAGAGAGAGAGAGAGATTTCGACCTAGCAGACTGTCACTATTTGTAATGCCTCATGTCATAGGCACAGTGCATTTCTAAAGAATGCAACTTTTTGTTCTTGGAAACAAATGCGTGGAAAATTATTTTCTCTCTCTGCCATATTTTGCTACCTGTGGTTTTCTTTCCCACAGCTGGAGCGCCAAGCTGTACCTGACCCCGAGTAACATCGTCTTGCTAACAGCTATCGCCCTAATTGGTGTCTGTGTTTTCATCCTGGCAATAATTGGCATATTGCATTGGCAAGAAAAGGTAAACATCACAAGTTGGAAACGTTTGGCTGGCTACATGTTCAAACAGTACAGGGTTTTCAAATAACCTGTGAATCTCTCTTTTGCTTTTTCTGCTAAAGATTCAGTTTTGGAAAATGATGGTTCCAAAATGATGGTTTTCAGTTGTTTTCTCAAGTGATTCTGCCCCCCCCCGGCGCCCTGGTACTTAACTAGGAAAATACTAGAGAACATATGGCCTTCCAGTTGCTCTGGAACAGCAACTTCCATGATTGTCGTCGTTGGCTTTAGTTAGGAGTGATGAGAACTGAGCTCATCAACATCTGAAAAATGTTGTTCCCACATCCTACCCCTGAAAGCTTGGGTTATAATTTAAGGAATCAGAGCTTCATGATACGCATGCACACTCTCCAAGATCCAGCAAAGGCTTAGATATCAATGGTCTGATGATACAAGGCAGCTATGCATGTACATTTTGCACAATTTGGGTGCTGAACCTGGAGGGGAATGTCACTCAGAAGTACAAGGAACTTGTTCTTGCCCAAGGAACTTGTTCTGTCCTTATATCAGGAGGGAAAACTTCAGCCCATGAGATGAATTGGGCCTTACCGAGGCTCTGCCTCTTGCCCAAGGAACTTGTTCTGTCCTTATTTCCAATCAGTGATTGGAAATAAGGAGCTTTTTAAAGCCCGGAAGGTTTTGCAGTGAAATGAGCTCACTTTTGCAAGCTGGCAAGACTGTGCATATATCAATAACTCCCTCCATTCTGGCCTTAATTGAAACTTGCATGCCATCTTCCTTTAGTACAGTTATGGCTTGCCTATTTGATCTCATTTATTGGTATCTGCCTTTTCTCTCATCCATTAAGACAGCAAGCAGGGGTCACCTTCTCCCCACATCCAGCCCTACATGTACAACTGGACTAGAACTTTTTTTCCACAATGTACATCTTTTAAAGTAGTGAAGCATTTAGAAACTGCATCCACCTTCTGTATTCTGAAGCCATACAGTATCGCCAACTCTCTTAATCTGATGCAGAACTTGAAAAAGTTGAAGGACTACATGCCTCAGGCACTGAGTGAAATTTCAGCCACACGTTCTTCACTTTCAGTCAGCTGCAAGACAAAGAGATTTCTTCCTTTTGAGATAAGAATCCTTGGCTGTCATTTTATTGACAAGCTTCAAAATTGTGACATTTTTATCATGAGTGACTGTTTACTCTGTAGAAATGTATTGATCCACAGAAGCTGTTTGTGAAGCTTATTTTTATACCACAAAAGAAAAGTGTGTCCCGATTTCTCATCTGGTTCCCCGTTCACAGCTAACAGCTAGCCAGCAGGGTAGCCAATAAGCGCTCCTGCCTAGCCAAGTTGTAATCATAGCTGTCAAAATTATTGCTTTTTACACTTGCTGTTGTTTGTTGCTGGCATTCAGGAAATAATATGCCGAAGCTGAATGAAGACTTTGCAAACACTTAAAAACTATCTGGGCTGCTATCGCGAACTCTTGCAAAATGTTAATACCAAACACCAAAGAGGTAAATGAGAACAAAGGAACTAAATATCGGAGTGGGAAGGGCGCTTTGCTTCCTATCTTGAACCAAGTTAGCACAACTGTGCTTCTACAAGTTCAACACATCCCTTAACACGGTTTTGCCGGCTTTAGGCTTTATTCCTCCTCCCACCTGCACCCCCACCTCAGTTGCTTTTGTAGATGTTACTGCATTTCCTGTTTATTGGATATTGGGATAAATAAAGTGGGAAACTCTCATGGGAAATCTGTGGCCAGGCTTGGGAGCAGCGCAGGCAAAGAATACACTTGGAGTTGCACCTAAAGAAGATCCACCCCTAAAACAGAACCAGGATTCATAATCCAGCAACGTACCGTGACAAACTGTGGTTTGTTACAACAAATGACCTGTGTTTCGTTGTTGCTGTCTTGCCTGGATTCAGACATTCAAACAAACCACCTTTGGGCTAAACAAATCCTGAATTAGTTTCACATGGCAGCATGCCTGGTATATCTGCCTTTCAACATGTTTTTTTTTTGTTGTTGTTAAATGAAAGAGTCTTATCAGACAGCTGTGTGTTAGAAATAAAGAGATCCGTTTTTTAAAAAGCTTAGAATTAGTTATTTGAAAGGAAAAATGCAAGGACGCAGGAATGGCTCAGCATATTATGAATTCCGTTGGCACTGGGTGGTGATAGGAAGGGACACCTCTCAGCCTGTTTTTATAGACTCAGAGGTGTCGGAGCCTTAGTGGCAGAAGCATGTTACTGCCAAGAAGCCAGAGCAAGATAACACCTCGAAGCAGCTCTGCTTTCCCTAAAAGATAAAGGCCTGACAGTGAAAACCAGAAGGGCACCATCAAATCGACAAGACGTCCCAGGGCACCCTTGGAGAGCAAGAACAGCTTGTCAGATAAGGAGGAGGGGAGGGGAGGACAGGCATTTCACAAACTACCTTTAGATAATAAGAGTCGTGCCCCAGACATCTCCTTCTTGGCACTGCAGTTGTTAAGTTCTGTGGCTGGGCAAAGACACCCTGGACAGCCATGATTGGAGAAAGTTTTATCCGGGATCCATGACCCAGGACAGAAAAACAGCAGATTGCAGGGGGAAACACCATGAGCCCAGGAAGATACTGAAATATATTCCTTGTTTTCTTCTGAACGTGGACATATCAGCAACACACCCAGGGAAGCCAAAGTGCACTCACAAATATTCCGTCTATAGTTATAGCTTTGTCCTTCGTTGTAATGATGCCAGCTTGTTGCAGTGTCCCATAATGAGAAATTCAGCCACTCCTTAACATTGGGGACAGTATTTCCAAAAGAGAGACAGAACATGTTCACCAGAAGTGACAACTTCAGAGCTTTCCTCCAGGTGCCGGCATGTTTTTTGCTAGGGAGAAAATGAGAAATGTTAAGGGTTGTTTGTGTTTTATTATCCTGGTACGGGATTAACAGCCGTTAATTGACAGGCCCAGAGTAGCGGGCCATTAATACTGAAAAGAAATGATAGTTTCTGGCAACGGCCATTTCTGAGCTAACTGCTTATCTAAAATGGCACTTATTTCAGTGTTACAAGGTTTTCAGTAAGGTTTCCATTCATAATCACATGAGAATGCAGCCGTCCTGTGAGTTTCTCTATAGTCATAGGAGTCAAAACACAAGATTCTTGCATCATGATCACTTGTGGATTGTTGTTGTTTTTTTCTTTTCTTTTTTTCTCAGAAAGCAGATGACAGAGAGAAACGGCAAGAAGCCCATCGCTTCCATTTTGATGCCATGTGATATGCCTTAAGGAGCTGCTGCGTATTATCTGGTTCTAAAATACTGTATTTGAGCCTAGAAGGGGCAAAGGAGAGGGTGTTCTTTCTGTGCTGTTTGTAAATGTTGCATTGTTTTTAATTTATTTGTAAAGTGTTAAAATCAAGCTGATCTCACATGGCCTTGGTTGTATATATTTACAGTTCTCTCTTTGTTAAACAGTGCTGTAAATTCAGCTTTAGTAGTGAATCATACTGCATGCATTCCATAGTTTTGAGTACTCCCACTTTCTTCTGTGGAATGTTTCAAGAAAAGGCAGTTCTATGTAAATGGGAAGTAGGTTTCAGTGAACAAAATCCTTTTAGTGCCACTTGAATAAATCCTGTCACTTACACATTCCCAAAATGTGAACTGCATTTTTATAATTTCCTCTCCAGCAAATTGTCAGATAAGACTAGACATCTCATGTTATTCTGAGTATACTGTAGGGTGTTTGATCTGAAGTGCTCTGGATTGCTTATCTTAGTATTAATCTTTCCATCCAATCAAGTGAGAGGGGAAATTTTAAATTGGAAGATAAAAACAACCAATTAATTGACCACAAGGTCTGTTAATAGTTGAGATATATGTAATTCAACTTATATTTTAAATTATGGCTTCCTAAAATGGAATAATGTCACCTTTACTTATTCATAGCTGTAGTTATCATGCAGGTAAACTGAAGCTTAATCATGCAAACTATTCACCAGTGATGAGTGGCTCAATAAATGAGGTTCGTGGGGAAAGAATGAAGATAGAATTCTCTGTGGGGGGGAAAAGTGTGTTCCAAATTCCCTTGTGATTAAATACTAGATGAAGCTATACTTCATTTTCCATGTAATTCTACCTGAGGGTATGTTGCAGTACCAAGCCAAAGTTTTGTATTTGTGACTGCCAGCAAAGAGAATTTACAATTTTTCATAACACAGTTATGCTTTTTTAAATTATTATTATTAAACAAATTATTTTGGAAACGCACTTGTCATGCAGTGTAAATTTTTGTGTTTTATTTAATTAAAACTGTTACCCTGCATTCGTAATAAACAATGTCAATCAAGTTAAATGGCATACATTGAGTTGGTTTATATAAATGGTGCTTCTGTCTATTAAGATGTCTGTGTTGGCTGTTTCGCCTCCTGGATCAAGCAGTGGATGAATTGAACCCTGATGGCATGAAGCTCTTACGGGCTTGGGATAGGGAGACAAAAAGGAAATTAGAGGTGGCGAGACTGGGTAAAGGTCAGGCCAATGGTCTGTTCTGATACCACATCTCCAAGGCCACAGGCGGTGGTCTTCCCTAAGCCTGCTGCTGAAGTGTTTTGAAATTAATATCATAGGAAATGAACCAGAGTCATCCGGGCCAAGAGCGTGCAAGCTGCTGTCAGTCTCAACAACCTCTGTGGGAGCACCAAACCTCTCCTACCAACTTCATGAAGACCTCTCTTTTCCCTCCTCAATCTAGCAGCAAGGAAAGAGTGGCAGATGGCTAGGGGAGGTGCATGGAGCAATACAGATAAAGTGTGAATGGCACCGATACAGCTGGGGTGGAGGAAATGGGCAGCCAGACGACTCTTCACCCTGCTCCCTCAGAGGTTCTCGTACAGATTGCTTTTTTCATACTGGGAGAAGGGGTGGAGATAAGGCTCTTGATCCCTTCCCGTTTGACCCTGATACCAAAATGAAATCAATGTTGGTGCTGCTCAAGTCTCTCTAAGGAGAGGACATTCTACCACCGAGGCACAACATCGCTATCCCCTCATAAAGTATTCTTCCACACGATGGAGGACTTCTCTGGCAGATGCTTGGATATGCAAGGAAGAAATTGCTCTTGAAGGATTGAGATCTCAGGCCCACTTGCAGCCAAGCCGGTGCTCAATTTTTTTCTCTAGTTATCATAGCTCTTTCTTATATCAGTCAACACCTGACAAGGTCCGTTGGCTCTACGTTGTGCTACTCTTCTCCCTGTCTATTCATTTCTGTAGCAGTTTGTCAGGCACTCTGTTCGCTATACATTCTGAACACAGAGAAAGTAACCTTTACGTTGAGCTATTTCCTTCTTTAATTTTCCTGGTCACTGAAAATACAGAGGATGCTGTAAGAAGCATCACAGGAGCCTTGCATTAATGGTACAGCTGAGTTGCTGAGACAGATAGGAAAGAAATGTATCTGGTCTTACTTTACAGTATCTGACTATTGAGGGGAAAAGATGACTAAATTCTACATTCCTCTTACAAGTAGCCAATTGCCTGGGATTCTTCTTCCTTAAATACTAATAATCACTGCTAAAGAACAACTACTCCTTATTTCATTAAAATAATAATAAAAGAGCTTGCTTTCTTCAATAGTGTTTGCCTCTATTCTGTATTAGTCTGAGTAGTCAGTTGAATCCATAGAATGTGCAACCTTGGTTTCAGTTACACCAGATAAAGCTCAGCTAAAACAAATGGAACTCGCATCAGTACTGTTGAAGGCTCACAGACTCTAGCATGCTATGTTTGAACAATGTTTTGCAGCATGAAAATCTGGGTTTTAAATGCAAAGTAGAACTGACAGATTCATGGCATAGGTTTGCTGGTGTGTAGACAAGTAGGTTACTTGTATTGCTATAACTAGGAAATAGACCGTGGTCTCTACTCTTTGTTATTTTAGTACAATGTTTACAGTAGTATTTTTCAACTTTACCACAAGCAGAAGCACAACTGTCATTAGAAAGTGCACATTCTTCATGGAAAGTATAATCTCGGAAGACACTTTCAGCTTCCTAGCGCAAAGCCAACACATCTGATCATCACGTATAAATTACTCTTGCGTGTTTGTATGTTCTTTAAGAACTTTGCCTTTCATGTGTGAATTTTTGTTACCTTATCAAGAAAGTGCAAAAAAGAGAGAGAGAGAGATAAGTGACTTAGCAAAACGTAAGCTATCACCAAGTTTATGACCCTGACTCCTACAATACACACGTCTCATGCCCTCTGCTGTAGAGGGGCTGTTAGACACACATGCCCTCTGCTGTAGAGGGGCTGTTAGAGGAAATGGTGCCATCTACTGCGCACAATAAAAAATAATCTTCAATGCCTCTCCTTTCTCCCATTTGCTTCCTTGGCTTACTATGAGGCATACATTTCTCAAAAACTGTAGGCAAACTGAAAGCCTGCACATTTTTTCATCATCTAGCGGTCTAACATTGCCAGTTTCAAAGTACTAAAAAAGAATATGAATGGTAGCAATGACCTTTTCCTTCTTCTTCCAGTAGAGAATGCTAACCTTTCAACAACATAATAAATAATAAAATAGCTGGAGCACATTAGGACAACACCAGCCTGCCGAAGGAATGAAACCTATTGTTCAGGCCTCGTTGAGTAAGCTTGGCGATTAAAATAGATACACAAAAGCAAGGATGTAATTTGCAAACAGTTTATTAGATTTATTAGCTTCTTGGATTCAGTTGCAAATTGCTGCCTTAAGTTAAGTAACCCTGGTAAGATGAAGTACTGCAAAATACCAAATGCAAAAAAAACCTGATCACCAAAGTTCACCAAAGATTCATATGATGTGCATGCTTACTGAGAACCCATATTATTCCCAAGTACTTAGCCTATAGAATTATTAATCATGAAGGTGGAATGATATACATACTACTTCATACAATCTTTTTACATTACAGCCCTGTCTAGCTTTTGATTCCCCCCACGCATAATACCTTTTTTTTTTTTACAGAAACTGCAATATTTTGTAAGTTACGATCCCCTTTCATATGACTTTGGAGAAGTCTGCAGAAATAAATAATTCTACTGTTAAAATCCTATCCCAAAGATAAAGATAGCAGGAGATAGAATTGATTACAGGCTCATGAAATTTAAAATCCCAATGAATTGGGAAGAAAGGGAACCTTAGCTGTAAGGTTTTTTTTATTTTTTTATTTTTTTATTTTCTTTTTTTTTTGCAAAAGTGCATCAATCTGCTGAGCTTGAATTCTCAATTAGTCAATCCCCTTCATTTTCTACTTTCCTCACTATTCAGGTATCTAAAGTATTTTTACACAGGAAAAACAACAGAGGGGAAAAGTTACAAAGATGCATCCAAGACAACAGAAGGAATGGTGTAAAAAAAAACTGGATTCTTTACAAAAATAGTACAGACTTAACTCTTCAAAATTGGCAGCTTTGGCTCTTGCCAGGAGGAAAAAAGTTGTAAAAGACATTAATGGATGTAATTCACACTTTGTAGTTCTTTCTCATTTATCTTCTTTGCTTAATTATCCAGAACCGGGACTGAGTTCTGTTACTTAAATCCAGGTACCTTTCTTCAGTGCCAAATAGGCAACCTTGAAACACTGGAATAAATGACAGTACCCTTGAGCAGGTGCAGAGTACATTTTCCCCAACTCCTGCAAATATATAGAGAGAGATTTTTATCTTGTCTTTTCATATATAAAGTGCCCATAGCTGTCTATAAAGAATTGTCTACATTTAGAAGGAGAAGAACTTATTTTTGTCTGTAAGAACAGTTTCCAGACCGACTTGATCTTTGGTCTCTCTTTCGTAGTGCAACTTTATGGAAATAGAGTAAAATCCACCCATCTGCAAAATGTCGGGAGATGTTTGTCTAATAAAGTCACTAGTTATACAAATTCACAAGGGTGTACAGACTCACGCAATAAACCTAAACAGAAGTACTCACCAGAAGTGCAGTGAAACTGTTTGTTGTGGAGTGTAATTTTTGCCCTGCTTGCTCCGGGGAACAAGTGAGAAGTTAATCTAATAAAAGATGCAATCACCTTAACTCGTTTGGTCTCTCCTGGACAAATAAGATCGCACTAACTCAGCAAAACGGGAGCAAGGTTGTTACCATCAAGACCACTGGGTACTTGTTGAGAAGAAGGTCAAAGGCAAGTCTCGGCTGTACAGTAAGGTATCCTGTGTTCGAATGAGCACAACTGGATTTAACGCAACGTCTCCCATTGAATCCCCTCCCAGATGCATTTAGTTATGCTCTTTGGGCTCTTTAGCTCAAGCAGCTGCTTAGGAGATGATCCATAACAGCAAAAGTGGATGTCAGGAAATACAGGCTGGCGTACATATGGTGAAGAATATCCCTTTCAAACATGAGGGGGGTAATAAAAGAGAGTTGCTTTGCATGTCCAAGGTCTTAAAACAGAGAGAACCTATGAGATAGGATGGATACGGTGTTTTGGACTTAGAAATCCCCATTCAGCCATGGGTTAACCTCACTTCCTGCCTTCTTCCACAACCTCACAGGCTACCTGGGAATAAACAGGAGAGCAAAAACCTCAGGCTTGAATTTACAATTTGGAGATCACTGACTCACAGGATTCCTGTACGTCGGAGGCATGTTGACGACTTGACAGCAACAAGAACATCCCGCACCGTATTCTAAGCTCCTTAGAGGAACGAGAGGATGCAAAATGGGATAACAGAGAAATGGTGGGGCCAAGACTAAGGCATGCCAGGATGCTAAGCCCTCCCTGCCTCCTGGCTAGGCAGAGGAAATGGCCTGCCAGCATTGGTCCCAAGGATGTGGTCACAGCTGGAGGAACAGGGGTTCGAGTTCAGCCCAGCTCCCTAAACCCGCTACACCCAACATGACAAACTTGATTATCCTTTTGCATCTCAGGCCGGCCAGCCGCCAGCTGCATCCGGTAACCTTTCCACGTCCCTTTTAATCAGCCTCCCCCTGATCCAAATCCACCGACTTCGATCACCATACAGCCTCCCCTAGGCCACAGCGTATCTCCTCTCAACCAAGCCCCCAACCCACAATTTCTACGCATTCTCTCTCTCTCTCTCTCTCTCTCTCTCTCTCTCTCTCTCTCTCTCTCTCTCTCTCTCTCTCTCTCTCTCTCTCTCTCTCTCTCTCTCTCTCTCTCTCTCACACACACACACACACACACACAAGCCCTTTTTCCCTAAGGGAGGGCTGTGCTTATTTATTTATTTATTGATGTGGGTGGATTTGAA